CTGGCCAGTTTGAATCAGTGGATTGAGCATCAGCCTGCAGACTAAAGGGTCCTGTCAAGGGCACGTACCTCAGTTGCAGGTTCCCCGGCCCTGATCAGGGTGCGTGCAGGAGGCAACCAATCGATGTCTCTCTCTCACATTGATGTTTCTCTTTGTCTCTCCCTCTCCCTTCCACTCTCTTTAAAAATCCATGGAAAAATACCCTCGGGTGAAGATTTAAAAAAGAAAAAATGCAGAAACTAGCTGCAACAATCTGAGAAGATTGGAGCTGAATTTTGTTCTCACAGAAAGGAGTGGTGTTGGGAAGATCTGAGGGGGAATGTGTATGTTTAGGGCACCCCTTCTCCTCTTTGACCTTGGGGAAGTAATGTTTCACCAAAAATAGGGGCTTTCCATTTGGTGAGAAGACTAGAAACTAAAATAAGAGGCCCGTGTTGGTGAATGTCACTGGCACCCCCCACTGTCAGCCCTCGGATGCTCTGTTTGGGGTGAACTTTCTTGTCAGGGTCCTTCGGTTCTGTGTGTATCCTTCCAGCTCTCTCTTGGGTAGATTTTGCTTTTTGCTGCTGGGGATTGGATATCACCCTCTTCTAGGGCTCTTAATAGGACTGAAGACTTGGTGATCTCATGTCTAAAGGTGTGTAAGGCAATGGCAAAGTTACTACCGCTCCAACATAACTATCAATGAGATCAAATTAATGTGAAAACCTCAATGAATCTGTTATTATGTAAACTATTAAACATGAACTCGGTTCCTCCTGAGTTTCATGTACAGTTGTGAGTACCTGAAACACAGAGTCAATAACACTATTGTAATTATCATACCCTACATGCATTTTTCCATACAAATAACTGTACACCTACTTTCACTCCTATATTTTCCCAGGTGACTTTGATACCCTTCCAAGTCAAAGTCCCCACTCTATAGTCTTTCTGATTGCGTATAAAGATGTTCACCATGGTGTCATACATCTTTGAAGTTCAACATTTGAGTAATCAGTTGCTGTTGAGACTGAAATCAGCTTATAAGGTTTGATTTCAAGTTCGGCAAACAGAGACCTTACCCTGTCAAAGTCAGACGTGATAGTCTCGGGCCAAAGCGAGCTGACCCAGAGACAGCCTGTAAGCTGCACTGGCATGCTTCCCTTCAGAAACCTCTACGTTAATTAACTTACGTGACTAGGGTGGACTTGGTTGTGCTAACAGACTTCAACATGTCAGTAACATTACTCAATAGACATTTGTTTCCTGCTCACTTGCTAGTCCTGAGAGGATGGTTCAAGCTATGTTGGCTGTTTTTCAGGTGGTCATTCAGGGACCCATATATTTTCCATGGTGTGCTACCCTTAGGGCTTTATCATCATGACCATCCCACTGGAAGGCCTAAAAAGAACCTGGAGGTGCCCAGGAGAAGTTTTCTGTGCCAGTCACATCCATCACTTTCAATCATAACCGAGTTGGCAAGAACTCAGACATGGCCATTACTAACAGCAGAGGAACCTGGAAAATATAACTTAGAGGTATTTCTCGTAAAGAGAGAAGAATAGTTTTGTTGAAGTCGCTCCCATACTAATAAAGGGGAGAGTGACTATGACAAGATAAAGACGTTTGTGAAAATTTTGTTTGCAGAGTTGGTGTTAAGACTAATTCTCCAGATATTTCTGACTCTGAAGATCTGAATTTTTCAGGCAGGTTTATGCTCGTGTATTTAAGGGGGAAACTGGGAGTGGAGGAGGGCAACTTTTGGTAAGAAGTTTGTGGCTTGACTCAATTATGCTTGGATTTAGCAGAAAAGATAGAATTCACAGGGTGTCAAGGAATCAGGACCCAAACTGGAGACATGGTATCTGCAATTTGTTTTTTACAATTAATGTATTATTGACATATTTTAGTAGTTTCAGGTGTGCAACATAATTGTATATATTGTGGAATGACCACCATAATCAGTCTAATTAATGTTCATCACCATAAACAGTTACAGTTTTTCTTGGGATGAGACCTTTTAAGATCTGCTCTCGGAAGCAATTTTCAAGAATGCAGCACAGTATTAACTACAGTCACTACACTGTACATATCATCCCCCTATTTCCTCCCTTCACACCCCCACCCCCACCCCTGCCTGTTTTACAGCCACCAATCTGTTCTCTGTATCTTTCAGCTCATTTTTGTTAGATGCCATATATTAGAGAGATCATATAGCATTTGTCTTTCTCTTTCTGACTTATTTCACATTGCATAATTCCCTTTAGGTCCATCCATGTTGTTGAAAATGGCAATATTTCCTTGTGTGGCTGAGTAATATTCATATCTATATATCACAGTTTCTTTATCCATCCATCTTTTAATGGACATGGTTTATACCCATGCCTTGGCTATGGTAACTAATGCTGCAACAGACATGGGTGCATGTATCTTTTGAGTTAGTGTTTTCATTTTCTGCAGATAAATTCCTGGGTCGTATGGTAGCTCTATTTTTAATTTTGTGGAGAGCCCCTGGGCTGGTTCCATAGAGGCTAAACCAATTCACATTCCCACCAACAGTGTACAAAGGTTCCCTTTCTTCCACATCCTCAACAACGTTTATTATTCCTTGTCTTTTTTATAACAGCCGTGCTGACAGGTGTGAAGTGATCTCTTGTGGTCTTGATTTGTGCGACTCTGATGATTGGTGATGTTGAGCAACTTCTTCAAGTATCTGTTGGTCATGGTATTATTGGGGTTTTTTTTTGGGGGGGGGGAAGAGGGAATCTATTCAGATTCTCTGCCTGTTTTTATAATTGAATGGCTTACTTACTTATTTCTGCTATTGAGTTGTATGAATCATTGATACATTTTGGATATTAAACCCTTATCAGATATACAATTTGAAAACATTTTCCCCATCAGTACATTGCCCTTTCATTTCATTGATGGTTCCTTTGCAGTGCAGAACCTTTTTAGTTCAATGTCATCCCACTTTTTTATGCTTGCTTTTGTTGCCTTTGCTTTTGGAATCGAATCCAAAAGATCATGACCAAGAAAATGTCAAGAAGCTTACCTCACAAGTTTTCTTCTAGGAGTTTTATGGTTTCTGGTCTTACCTTCAAGTCTCTAATCCGTTCTGAGTTCACTTGTGAGTCGGGTGTCAGAGGTCCAGTTCAATTTTTTTGCTTGTGGCTGCCCCGTTTTCCCAGCAGTATTTATTGAAGAGTCAATCCTTTCCCCATTGTATGTTCTTGTCTCCATTGTTGTAAACTAACTGACCACATAATTGTGGGTTTATTTCTGGGCTCTGTTCTGTCTCATTGACCTCTGTGCCAAAGGTCACTAGCACACTGTTTTAAATAATATAGATGTATGATGTCGTTTAAAATCAGGGAGTACAATATCTCCAGCTTTGTTCTTTCAGAAGATTGCTTTTGGCTAATTGGGGTCTTTTGTGGATTCATACAAATTTTAGGATTCTTTGCTCTACTCTGTAAATGAATATGTTAAAAAATTAGTTTACTTACATAGACATATTTGTGTAATTCAAATTAAGTATGTACGAAAAGTTTAATTCTACAGAAAGATTTTCTATATATATTGCTGTAATTTTAAATCTATACTGAAAAAGTCTAGTAAACGCGTGCATTCCCCAGTCACCGTGAGTAAATGCACATGGCAGGGGTGTGGCTTAGCACATGTGGGAACATCAGCCAGTGCGAGCTAAAACTGCTGCAGAGTCCTGCCTGCAGCAACAGGACCAAGCACCTAGAGCAGCGGTTCTCAACCTGTGGGTCGCGACCCCTTTGGGGGTCAAACGACCCTTTCACTGGGTCGCCTAAGACCATCCTGCATATCAGATATTTAAATTACAATTCGTAACAGTAGCAAAATTATAGTTATGAAGTAGCAACGAAAATAATTTTATGGTTGGGGGTCACAACAGGAGGAACTATATTTAAAGGGCCAGAAGGTTGAGAACCACTGACCTAGAGCGATGCATGTGATCACATGCTAATCATTCCACAAACACTGTTTACAAGTAGTGACTCTTAGATTTAAATATGTAGACGGTAGTTGTAGATGTGTAATATTTATGTCAGTGAAATTACTACCACATTTTCCCCAAACTATGGCCTATTTGCTAAAACTTATTAAAACTAACAGTGAACTAATTAATGAAAAAATAATCTGTTGATTTAATTATAAGTAAATCTTGGTTAAAATCATTTTAGAATTAACATATGACATACGGACTTGAAATTTTGTCCATTAAATCCAAAGTGCATGAAATCAAGGTCCAAAAAATGGAGGGTTTACTGTATTATCTTTTAAAACATTAATTTTGACCAACCTTAATACATTAGTACTCACTGATGTTTGGTGAACAAGCTATTGTGACGATAATGAGTTGTTATTAGCAACATAGGCCCTTAACATGCATGTGTTTTTGCTGTTGAGTCTCTGTTCCTGCAAGCGAATGAGCTTGCATCCACATTGGCAAGATGGCTGGTCCTTGTTTGGGATTATATTGCTGATGAAGCAAGAAAACGAGACTAGGCACACAGAAGAGATGGGTTCAGAGCTTAGTTCCCATCAGCGCGAGCCTCCAATCCGTGGGAGGAAAAAGGAAGAAAAGCTTCATAAATGCAGACTTGCATGCTGGCCACTTGCTTCCTTATCTATACAATTGCAGTCTCTGTTATGTTAATCTAACACTTAGCAACTGGTGGTCAGCATGACAGACATGAACCTTGGAACATCACTGGGTAAAAGAAAAAACCAGACTTGGTTGATCTGGAGGAACTGTTTTTCTCTTCCATTTCACTTAGAACATTTTATGAAATAGTGACCAAATACTGATAAGTGGGTTTACTCATCCCTATGAACGGTCATGAAATCACGCAGAAGTTTTCAAGTCCAAAGGGCCGATGAGAAAGGTTTGAATGTATGGAAGTATTGACAGGATGGGTCCTCCCCAAGAGAGAAGGTAGTCCTCCTTCATGGACGTACAGATGAAATGACAAGGAAAGCGGTACCTGAGCAAATGAGTGCTTTATTTTTACATCACAGCTTACAGTATGTCCCACCTGGCTGTCAATCACAGTGTAATTCCTATCAGTATGTGTCTAATAGGTTTCTTCTGTTCCAGCTAAGCAGTAAGTGGCATCACTCAAGCAATTGCTTTCACTTTGGTTCATTTTCACATTCTTTCAGCAGCAAACACCAAATCAAAACCCAGCAATCAACAGGATAATCATGCCCGGCAAAGTCTCACATAGCCCCCAGAGGACGTATGAGAGTACACCTTCACATTCCCAAAGGTCGGTGTGTTTTTTTGGCATAAAACAATCGGGTGTTACAATTGACCACAAAATCAGGTGCCACTTCATACCGTTTAATGTTTTTGAACTCTCTTTAGTCATCTTAGCGTGAGAGGGGGTCTCCTGCAGGGCGTCACGTGTTGGCGGTCCCCCTTCCTGCGCTGGTGGCCGCGGGTGGCCTCCTGTGCGGGCGGCGGGAGACCCATCACTGGTCTTCGCTCTGCACCGGCAGGCGCTCGGGGGGGAGCACGGACTGCAGGCGCTGCCAGCGCCCCGGCGGCCACAGGATGTGCGTCGCGTGCGCGTGCAGAAGCCCCAGCGAAACCTGCGCCGGCGACAGAGAGAAGCAGAAAGAAGACATGGTGTGGTCAGGGTTACGTTCACATCTTGATCATAGACTTGATCCCATCCCGTGCGGCTGCTCCGCGGACCGGGGATGACGAGGAGTGGACGGAGGAAGTGCCCCCGGGGCACTGTCTGGGCACCCGGCAGGATGTACAAGGTTCCACTCCTCACAGCCACCGGAAGCAGGTCGGACCTGGGCTTCACTTTGCACGTGGGAAGCCTGGGTGCAGGGAGGAGCCAGAGCTGGTCCACAGTCACCCAGCGCCCAAGGGTGGACACTGGCTGCACCCCAGCCCTCAGCAGCTGCACGCATAGACCCCGAAGGATAAAGCGGGGCAACCTTCTCAGAATATTCTAGCGTTCTCGGGTTTTCAGAGAGACCTGGAAACAAATACGTTCTGCCAAAAGCCTTGTCCCACCTGCTGGATGAGCAGCGAGAGTTACATGTGAGGAAAGGCGGGTGCCTCCTGGGAATACATTGAGCAGCACCACAGGAGTGACCCGGACAAAGGCGGGAGGCCCAAGGAAAGCCGGCCAGCGGGGAGGGGAAGCTGTGGAAAGGAAGCAGTATAGCCCGGTCTCGTGGCTCAGTGGTTGGGCATCGACCCGTGAACCAGGAGGTCATGGTTGGATTCCTGGTCAGGGCACATGCCCGGGTTGCCACTAAGGGGCGTGTAGGAGGCAGCTGATCCATGATTCTCTCTCACCATTGATGTTTCCATCTCTCTCTCCCTCTCCCTTCCTCTCTGAAACAGATAAAATATTTTTTAAAAAGTAGAAAGATCCTGGTAGATGACAAAGAATCCCCATCAGCAGAGATGGACCAGACTGGAAGGGGAGGGAACTTTTCTCAGACTGAAGACTGAGGCCTAAGAAGGAAGGAGCCCTTAAACCAAGCATTTTAAACTCCCCGCAGGCAGGTAAACAAGGCATGCGGCCCGCCGGCCATGAGTTTGACATGCTTGCCTTAAGGGCTCGCTAGGGACACACCTGTGGTGTCGAGAAGAGCATGGCACACGTGGTTCAAGTGCAGATCAAGGCCCTCTCCTCGGACGGGTCTGCGGCAGGGCCTGGAATGCTAGTGTTGCTGCGATCAGCTATTCTAAGGATATTTAGAGGCTTGTAAAACACTCATGTTTAAGCACTTACTTATAAAGCAGAGAGGACACGTCTATATTACTTTAAAATGTTTCTTCCTATAAATTTGAGCTCCATGGAGCTGAACAAACATCATTTCTTTCCTTGAAGTGACTTTATTTACCAGCATATTCATCCGAAAAATCACATCACCCAGAGACTCCATGGAAAGAGCTGAGTGTCAGGGGAGAGACGCCAAAGTGACAACCAGAAACGCGTTTTCTCTGTTAAAGAAACTTCACAGCGACTCGGAACACAAACAGAACAAACCCAAAGGGGCCACGAAGCCCGTGGGCCCAGAGAGAAAGCTGTCTTCCACTTGGTACGTTGAAAATCAAACCTTATGAAACTTGAAAACGTGGTACAGAAGATCGCTCTACTCACCCAGATCGCCAGTTATTTCCACATGGCTGATTCCTCTCAGGGGTGTGTGCGATGTGTTTGTACACATACACTTTTTTCTCAGCCCAGTGGAAGTTGCTGGCTTCATGGTGAATTTACCCCGAAAGAAATCCTTCATGTCATTTGCCACCTACCCCACCACAGCTCCAACAAAAGTTTTTTGGACTCTACACTTAGTATACCATGTATTGCATGCAAGATATTTAATATTGATGGGATATAGCCCTTATTCAGATTTTTCCTATTGTCCCAAAGTCTTTTATAACTAATTTATTTTTTAAATTCTTAATCAATGATCACAGATTGTATCATCCTTTTGCTTCAGTTTACATTTAGGTCATTTTAATCTGGAGCCCAGCTACCTTTTGTAAGTAGTAATTAATCAGTAGGATTTTTTTTCAATTACAGCTGACACATAACATTAGCTTCAGATGTATAACATAGTGATGAGATATGTATATAACTTACAAAGTGATCACCCTGATAAGTCCAGTATCTATCTGACACCACACATGGTTATTACAATATTATCGACTATTTTCCTAGGCTGTATTTTACAGCCCCATCACTGTTTTTATAACTGGCAATTTGTAGTTCTTAATCCCCCTTTTCCCAGCCCCCAAACCTCGCTCCATTTGGTAACCATCAGTCTATTTTTTCATTTTTAAGTTTCCACATAGAGTCAAATCATATGGTATTTCTTTTTCTGTCTGACTTATTTCACTTAGCATTATATTCTCTAGGCCCATCCATGTTGTTACAAATGGCAAGGTTTCATTCTTTCTTATATCTGAGTAATATACCACTGTATATATGTACACTTCTTTATCCATCTATTTGTCTATTGATGTTGCTTCCTTATCTTGGTTTGGTTTGTTTTCCTATTTTATCTTTCTGATAGTTTATTATTGGCATATAAAAATGCAACTGGTTTCTGCACACTAATAATTGTAAATAATGCTGCAATGATCGCAGGAGTGCATATACTAGGTGTTTTTTGAATGAGTGTTTTTTAATGTCTATGGATGTATACTTGGAAGTAGAATTGCTGTTTCCTATTACGATTACATTATTAATTTTTTTAGGTTACTGCATATTGGATAAATTAGTCATTTGTTTTCACTCAATCATTATGTTAATATGAAAATTTACATTGATTGACTTATGAAAGTTTAACTACATTGCATACCTGGGATAATCCCCACTTGATCATGATATATTATTCTTTAAAAAATATAGAG